ATGTGCTTTTCTATGTCTTATGAGGCAATCACAAGAAGATATAGTGGTGTAACTTATGGAACTGTTCCTGCAATGTGTTTTGCAGATCTTACTGCTGAGACAATTACCAGTGAAAATGAGACCCAAGACTCATTTTGTTTCTCATCTTGAGGATTATGTTGTCTATAATTTGGGAAAGGTTTAAAGGACTATTTAGACTATTTCTCTCCCACTCCCATAATTATACTATGGTCACATGAGCAGAACAAGTAGAAAAAGGCACCAGCTGCACTTCAGCAGCTGTGTTAATGGTCTGTTGTATGATACTAGGCAGCTTGGTGTTGCTCCATTTTCACATTTGTATCAGCAGACTTTGGTCTCTAGGTTACATTCTATTGGACTCGTGCAAAACCAGATGTGCTCTTAGATTGTGCCATTACCGTATCAATTGATACGTGTTGGTTTATGGGTGCTGTTTGAAAAGTAAACCAGGAAAGCTCCATCGATCAGCCAGTGGGAATAGAAGCTCAGTGTTAAAATGTACTAGCAAAGCTGGCTCTAGAAAGCAACTCCACTACAAAAGAAGGGTTAGTCTTGTACCTGGATATGGACAGTTTTCCAATTGATTGGAAAGTCAGTGTTGCTTCCATTACATTGGCTTGCTTTGAGAATAATCATACACTGCCATTAATTTTAATCTGATTTGTTCTGCACAAGTTGTCATTGTCTCCCTGGCGATGTTCAAAGCCAGGCTGGATGGGAGTTAGAGCAACCTGGTCTAGTGAGATGTCCCTGCCCATGGCAGGAGGGGTGGGAACTAGATGATGTGTAAGGTCTATTCCGACTCCTAAAATTCTATGATTGTCAACTTGCTTAGAAGGCACAGTAAAACACAGAAGACACCATGTTTGCTGTCTGCATCATAGCACTGTGATGAGCTAGTAGTGCCTGGCGTAACCTTCTAACCTGATACAACTGTCTTCTTGATTCATGCTAAAGATCTACATGTCTTGCTGTCCCACAAAGGAAAGGTGTTTCTAAGAAGCATGGCTTGTCTCCCTGGTTCAAAGCCAGGCTGGATGGGAGTTAGAGCAACCTGGTCTAGTGAGATGTCCCTGCCCATGGCAGGAGGGGTGGGAACTAGATGATGTGTAAGGTCTATTCCGACTCCTAAAATTCTATGATTGTCAACTTGCTTAGAAGGCACAGTAAAACACAGAAGACACCATGTTTGCTGTCTGCATCATAGCACTGTGATGAGCTAGTAGTGCCTGGCGTAACGGGAGTTAGAGCAACCTGGTCTAGTGAGATGTCCCTGCCCATGGCAGGAGGGGTGGGAACTAGATGATGTGTAAGGTCTATTCCGACTCCTAAAATTCTATGATTGTCAACTTGCTTAGAAGGCACAGTAAAACACAGAAGACACCATGTTTGCTGTCTGCATCATAGCACTGTGATGAGCTAGTAGTGCCTGGCGTAACCTTCTAACCTGATACAACTGTCTTCTTGATTCATGCTAAAGATCTACATGTCTTGCTGTCCCACAAAGGAAAGGTGTTTCTAAGAAGCATGGCTTAGCATCCTGTAATGTCTTCAGCTTAGCCTTAGAAAGATCAGGAATAATATCAGCCAGGCTATGCTTTTGATGCATGTGCTTGTTCATCTTCCCTTGTCTGCAATTAGTATTCACCGTCTATGGACATTTAAAAATACTGGTCCTTAGTTCCAGCTCTGTTTTGCTGCTTTAGACAGTATGGTTTTGCAGTTCCATTTGTGAACAGAGACTTGAAAGATAAAAAAGAATGTTTTTCATGTCAGTTATAGCTGTTGCAGAAACTGCTACAGGAAATCTCAGAGGCTATGACAGTATAGTCTGGATCAGGTTGAAAACTGTAATTGAGTAGTGGTTAAAACCAGCACTTCACATCTAATCATTTATTTACATTCAGAATTTTTTTCCCTTGTCAAGTTTGGATTAAGAGAAGTAATGTCCAAGCCACTATGACCTGCAATATGCTGGTTCCTCTCCACTGCTTTTTTGTAAAATTTTATTGCAGATTCATTTACAAAGCACACTAAAAATAATGAAAGCTCGAGGTATATAATAAATTGCAGTCAAACAGTACACACTCTCAGAAAGAAAGAAACAAGACTTCAAACATAACTTCAGCAGAATGTGCAGGAAATGTTATTGAAAGAGGGTTCTAATTTGAAAAGTCACTGTAGAAAGTTCTACTCCTACACAGCTTAATGTTTCAAAACAAGCATACAAAAAAAGACTTTCTGTTGATTATACCTCTTGGCCCCACTGAACCAATGCATCCAAGATATTTTCAGAGTTAAATGGGGGTTTTGGCAGTATTTAACAATGAATCTTCCATGAAGTTTTGCAAATTTTAGGACTTCCACAAAGGAAACTATACACACCTAAGATTATGGATTTATTGTCAGATGTGTCCTAAACCACAGATCTTCCATGGTAGAAGCTGTAGCAATGTGTTTAAGATCATTTGTTATCCATTCAACATATAAGGAATAATAATCTTATTATTAAAACCTGAGGTAAATTACTTCTGTAAAATTTTAAAAAAACCCATCCAACTATTTAGAAGTACTCCAGAATGAAATCTTTGTTCTGAACAGCTGGAGCTGAAGGTGGATTGACTAGATCATGCTGGGATAAGACCAGCACAAAGGAAAATGTACAAAATAACTGTTGATAAACTAGTTCCTTAAATTATAGCTGCTGCTCATTACCTCCCTTAGGAAATAATCAAACACTCAAGCTATTTTCTTTCATTTTGAAGAGCTTTACCAAAGGGGAACAGTTTGGAGAGGTTTGTTAATGTTGTGTTTGTCTCTGTTTATTGTAAATAGTATTAGTGACACTGATCCAGGATAGTTATAATTATAATTAATTGTGTCCACAATGGAATATAGCTATAAATGAGTCTGAGAGCAGAAAGGGCATTTGTAAAAGAGGGGACAAGTGACTGTATGACTGCTGTTGAAACAATGGAATGAAACACAGCCTAGTTATTGCCTAGTTATTTGCCCCTTGGCTGGATGCCAGACACCTACCAAAGCTGCTCTATCACTTCCCTCCGCAAATCAACGGGGGAGAGAAAATATAACAAAAGGTTCATGAGTTGAGATAAGGACAGGGAGAGATCACTCACCAAATAGGGCAAAACAGACTTGCAGAAATTAAGTGATTTTATTGCTAACAAGATCAGAGCAGGGTAATGAGAAAACAAGAGACATTAAAAACACATCTCTCCTTCCTTCCTAGCTACTCCTCTTCTCCAGCAGCAGTGCAGGGAGATGGGGACTGGAGGTTATGATCAGTTCATCAGACATTGTTTCTGCCACTTGTCAGGGAGAGGAGTCCTTCCTCTGCTCCAGCATGGGGTCCCCTCCATGGGAGACATCTCGTCATTAATTTCTCTAGCATGAGTCCTTCCCATGGGCTACAGTTCTCCATGAACTGCTCCAGCATGGGTCACTTTCCACAGGGTGCAGTCCAGTCCCTCAGGAGCAGCCTGTTCCAGCTCAGGTCCCATACTGGATCACAAGTCCTGATCCAGTGTGGGCTGCTCTCTCCATGGCTCTGGAGAACCCTGCCAGGAGCCTGATCCAGTACAGGCTTCCCATGGGGTCACATGCTCCTTTTGGGCATCTACCTGCTTCAATCTGGGTCTCCTCCACAGGCTGCAGATGGATCTCTGCTCCCACATTGACCTCCATGGGCTGCAGGGGGACTCTCAGCTCTGGCCCCTCCTTCTCTATTCCTGGCCTCGGTGTCTTCATCACAAGACAAGAGCTGCTCCTGTCACATATTCTCGCTCCTGTGGCCCCAATTATTTCTGTACAATAATGTTTCTTGCATTCTTAAATATGTTATCACAGAGGCTTTATTGCCATCAGTGGTTGGCTCAACTTTGGTGCAGCAGCAAATCCATCCTGGAGCTGACTGTTTCTTTCATTGCTTACTGTAGGATCTTCTTTCACCAGCTTTACTGATTGTCTAAGCATTCACAAGAGATTTTGTGTGGACTAAGTCTGAATCTTGCAGCTTCATTGCAATGACTATCCAATACAGAAAGCATTAAGTATTAAATCAACCCTGTTCTCTCCATGATACCCTCTGGCATTCTCATGTGCAGACTCATATCAGTGCATCCTAAAAATGTTAACTTGCTCTATGTTCTGCTTTCCTAATGGGAATAGCTGCTTTCTTTTCTTGGCTTCAGTTCTGCTTCTGGAACATAGAGCTGTTACTAGGTTAAAAAACAAACCAAACAAAATCTGCATCACAAATCTACATCATTCTGCAATTGCAAATGTATTTGTTGTTTGCATTCCAGTAAGCCTGTAAGCAGAAATAAACCTTGATAAAGCAATTAAATGGGCAGGTGAAATGGACTATAATGAGCATTGATTACATGCTTTACATTCTGTGTTTAGTTGTATTTGATGTGTCTCTGTCCTGTAAAGCTAATTTATGGTAACTGTGCTGAGTTGTGTGATTGAAAGAAGAATGTTTTATAGAATGATTTCAGCACGATGTGATTACCTTTCAATAGGTTAAAACTGTGGGGTGTTTTTTTCAGTAGAGACAGAGTTGTAGCAGAGTTTGGCAACTCTTAAACATTGTAGAAAGTGTATTTCTATAAATATACATACAGAAACAAACCTGCTTCTACAAGTTGAAAATGCTTGAAAACAAGCTTTGCAAGCATTTGGCTGAAACAGCAGCTTAGCAATTACTTCCAAAGTTATGTGGAATTTAGAGTGGTTTTTAAATTCTATTTTCAAAGTCTCTATTGCCTAATGCGCATATATTTTCTTCAGAAATGTTTATGGAGTATTTATAATTAGAGGTTTTCAATGTAATTTACATTTATAGGGTAAAAAAAGTCCAGCATTATCATATTTACTGTTCTTAGTTTAGTACTGTTAAAAAATCTGAATTTATAATATGTATTTACATGTATTTTTACAATTCTTCTATTTTTCAGATTTTCCAGATTGCATATGTTATTGTGAAAGCAGCTAACTCACCTCGTCCTGGGAACTGGATTTTGGAGCGTTCGCTGGATGGTGTAGACTACCAACCATGGCAGTATTATGCTATCACAGACAGTGAGTGCCTGACACGCTACAACATTCATCCCCGTCCTGGAACTCCATCCTATATAAAAGATGATGAAGTCATATGCACTTCTTATTACTCCAAAATCCATCCTCTGGAAAACGGAGAGGTAAGATCAAATATTATTCGATGTACTGTAACCTGGCAGAAAAGGAAAATTTTGAGTAATTGACAAATCTGCCTTGAGTAGATGAAATATTTTGGTACAGTTGAAAAATGGTGAGGGGGTCTGTTTTCAGTTTTAACCCCCCCTTGGTCCTGTATAAATGCATAGAAGGTTCACCTTAATAAGGACATTCTACAAAGTGAACCAAGAGGTAAAGTAGTTATTAGGTAGGCTCTAGTACTTTCAGACAATTTTAGGTGCTTGAAATATGTTCTTTTGTCACTTGTGAACAAAGGTGAGAATCCTGGGAAAAATCATGGACCCAATGAAGTCATTAAAACACTTTTCTTTGAGCTCATTATCAAGTCCCTGTGTGTAAGTCAGGATGTTAAACAGTAGTGATTTTAGTCAGTTTAATTTAATGCATTTAAGAGCTTGTACCTGACTCTCTGCCCCTGTGTATGCCTATTCATTCTTCTCCTGTCAGAGGCCTCTACCGTTCTGAGTCCAGGCACATGAATCATGGACCAGTCATTTGTTTTAACTGAGGGTGTGGAAAAGAACTGGTGGACATGAAAATGAGCATGTGTCATTAAAAGAACAAGGCAAATGTAACAACTGTAGCTGAAAGTACAGTATTTTCAGCCACTTAAAATGATGAGAGGGAAAGCCACGTGTATCACATTCCATTAACTGCATATTTTGTCAAAAACTTTTTCCAACCACTTGCTTTGCAAATAACTTGTTAATTCCACAAATAATGTGGTTTGAATGCGCACTAGATCTGAGGTATTTGTATATTTATAGATTCTTTGATGTCTAATGATGATCTGTGAGATTTTTAGCTTCAATATTTATCCTTCTGTTAATTTTTCTGTTCCACTTTTTGATGGCTTATTTCCATATAAAGAGGTACGAAAATACTTTTTTTGTTCCCCTAAATGCAAAGCAACATTGACACGCAAATTTGTTAATAGAATTATTTTTGAGTCCTTGCTGTAGATATGTATAGTTTGTTTATGTTCACAGGAAATTTCCAATACCAGTTGCAAAAATAGAAAAATACAGCTCTCAGTGAAAATATCCTGCTGATACACTCAAAAAAAGGATGTAAACTTGGATCTAAAGGAGTCTTGTATGTGTTATCAGATATGAAATCATTTGCATATCTAGGGAAAATCATCACAAATACTTTGTGTGTGTAGTTGTGTCATTAGAATAGGTATTTGATCTTGTCAAATCTAGCAGGAGCAGATAAAGTCATATTACAAGAAAGAGTGCCGACACATATGCTATGCTTTTACGTCAGTTTCAGTGGGGTGCTTTTTGAGGGGTGAACAGAACATGAGTTAGCAGTTTATCACTTGCAAAGAAACTTTATACCTTTTCTTTAGGAGAACTTACTTGTCTGCACCGAAAACATAATGCTGAAGTAATTATTCCAATAACTAATTTAATTTACATTGTTCAGTTTCTTTGATTATCCAATTCTTTCACAGACAGACATTGATTCCAGTTATCTGCTGTCCTCTTGGTTAAACCATTCTTGTGCTCTTCATTGGCTTAGTTAAACAGCAAAGAACTTTATTCAGCACACCAGTATATATCCATGGCTGAGAAACTGGCTAAAAGCCTACTGAATTAAGTGGAACTTAATTGTGATATTAAGTGTTCAATTAATAATTTTTAACTCGGCCTGATGTGCTGTAATTGATGCTCTCTCATTGGCTCAGTAAATGTTTCATTCCATTTGGTAAAGAAGAATTGTTAGATACATGTACACCCTATGAAAGGCGATTTAAAACCCGATTTGTTTCTGTACAAACAAATGTAGGTTTGTTTCTGTATGTGTGCTTATAGAAATCACCCTATGAAAGGTGATTTAAGCCACTCTAAGTTAATCTTGCCTTACAAAGGTAGTTATTAATCTGAGATGTGGCCCTAATGGAGAGAAAACAGTTTGAAATGAAAAGCTTAAAACTTAACCTTTATGGTGACTGGAAGAGTGCCACTCCCTGAATTTGAGAGCTGACATTTTTAGCAATACTCTTTTCCTAAATAAACACTAGTTTCATCTGTCTGAGTAGTTAAAGGCTGCATTATGAAGTATGTAGTCCTAATGCAGAATTAACCCAGGTTAATTCTTTTTCATATTTCATCAAACACAAAACATGAAAAATAACAAAATTTCTACCAATATCAGATTTACTTGCAATTGTGCTGCAGGTGGTATTTGGCTCCTGGTCTTTCAGTGGAACTACACCTGCATATAATTTGGTTTAGTTCCAGGATGGAAATTTTGTTCTATGAATCAGATATTAGTCATTTTCTAAGACTGACAGTTATAAAATGTACATTAAGTGCCTTCCCTTTGCTTCAAAACCCATGAGATATTTAGGCACTGTTCTGGTGTACACTCAGGAAAGCTGATGAAGTGCAGAAGGAACACAGGTCAGCAAGCCATTTCCAATGCCAAGAGTACATCTGCAGCACTATCTGAAATCAAGACTTGTTGTCTTAGAAAGACCAGAATATGTTCTACTCATGTATGCTTTCAAATGAACATTTTAGTCAGTGACTAGCTTCATTAACATATTTCCAGCAATGTTCATTTTAGGCCAAGTAGTTTGGTCATTTAATACTGTCCCTATTTACACCCGTAATATTATCCCGGCCAAACACAAAATTAAAACCAAAACCAACTAGAACAACAAAAAGACAACACACAAACAAAAACCCCGTGTGATTTATCTTCAGATGAGTTTAACCATCACAAGATTAAGTTTACTCAGTCAAATGTGAATAAAAATCTGTAGACCACAAATTATTTAAAAAATATTTTAATTGAATATTATCTTGAATTAATGGAAAATAGCATAATGGCAGCTTCTGAATGAACAAAGTGAGAAACCCTCAAAGAAATTTCTCTGAAAGTGCAGACTTGAATGCAGAAAGATTGTTACTATCTGCTTTCCATACTGTCTATGATCCATACTGTCTCTGTGATAGGTGGACAAATAGAGTGTCTCGAGATCACACTGACAAAGGTAGACTTTTAGCATAGGTGTTTCTGATATGCCATCACAGAATGATTAAGGTTGGAGGGGATCACAGTGGGTCATCTGGTCTAACCTCCCTGTTCAAGTAGGGTCATTCTAGAGCACATTCACAGGTTTGCATCCAGGCAGTTCTTGAATATCTCCAGTGAGGGTTTGATGATCTTAGAGGTCTTGTCCAACCTTGATGATTCTGTGAAAATCTTAATTAATCTGATAGGAAAGCACTTCCTTTTACTAAGAAGTCAAAATCTCCCCCCCATATCTGGGAAACAAGTACAAAAACTGAGATGAAGGGTGTGAATTTAATTGCCACTTTTTAAAGTCTTAATTGGAATACCCAATTGACTCCCTGATCTGTCATCACATAGAGGTGTTCTGTCAAATTTGGTTTTGAAAAATTATAATTATTGATGTGGTGTGGAAGGTTCATAAACTTTCAAGGGAAAGTTCTCTCTTTGTGGACAGAATCTGTCTTCAGAAGATGCTGCCTCAAACGATATTTCTGCTGAATAGAGTTTGGGTTACATGGTGAGAATGGAGAGGTTAAATTTTCAGGATTCAGTAAATATTGCCTTGTGCTGAATAAGAGGAAAAATCACTGATCCTCCTGTGTGAGATGCCTTTCAAATATTATTTTTGGTTGTTGAGGATGCTCTACTTTGACATTTAAAGACTGAGAAATTGAAGGGTATTAGCCCTACATTTGATGGAAGATGCTTCAGATCAAGCACAGCCCTTGGTGTTGTTTGATTCTTTTCAGCAAGGAGCAGTTGTGAAACAATTGATGTGACCATCAGAGAGGTGATAATAACTATAGATCTATTACTAAGGAGGTAATATAGTTGCACATCTATGTTGAGTTGTAAACTGCATAGTATTTCCATGGTCAAATGTAAAAGTTGAAGACTGAAAGATTTTGGCAAGAGCTGTCTGTGTGAACCATGGAGTCTATGGTTTTCCGAGTCCCAGTGCTAGCCTTTAATAAGAAAACTCTTCCTGTCTTTTCTATGGCCGTAGACAGCACTAAACCTGAAGCAAAGCACTGACAGGGAGGGGAGTTATGCTGGGAATTACATAACCTGCCTCCTTCCTTTTTTTTGCGATGAGTTTTCCTATCACTGCTGTTATAGTGGTGAGAGTGATACTGCAATGTGGGTGATAATTCAGTTCTGCTCCTTTGAATGCTTCATCTTTTGCTTTTCTTGTGATGGTAGCATTGTGTTAGGTCCAAAACATAAAATACTGTTTCTGTGGTAGTGAAGGCTAGTCTGTATGAGCACATTCATTAGTGTTTATTTTTTTCAGCCAAGTGGAAGTTCAAAGTGTGTACCAAACATGTAAGAAGAAAAATAAACAGGAACAAGTTCCTTGATATTAATGTTGTTTTATTTTGTTCATTTGCTGTAGTACTTGAATGCTTGTGCTGTGCTCCTTTTGAAATGCAGCCCTGTGCCGCATAGCTCCTTTGGAACCTCCCTACCTCCCAGCTTCCCTCAGACCAGTGATGCCGTGAACATCAAATTCTCTTACTTCCCAATATTTGCAGGCTAGGTTTCTCCTCTTCATGCCATAGTGCTTGTAGTGTTTGGTGTACCAGCTTCATCTGGTAGACATCCTCTCAGATGCAGTCTTTGCATCCAAGATGATGTCCTGCTGCCTAGGTTTTTAGCATACTTTGAGTTAGGCTATCCAGCCAGGTGGCATAGCTTCACTTTCTAAGAAATAATGAAGTAGATTTTCTCTGGACTGAATCAAGTGTCCTGTCAGCTTAGGATCATTCCCATCTTCTTGCTTTTCTGTCATAAAATGTACAGTTATTATTTTGTAGCGAATAGTAAGAGGACAGCCAACAGGATCTATAGATAAATGGTGCCTATTAAAGATCTTTCCACTGAAGTCAATAGTAACATTTGGATCAGGTCTTCCATGAGGACCATTAATCTC